CTTCATCTATCTGTGGCTTTTTTGTTTTGTGGTCTCTCTAGTAAGTACAACTGTAAAATCTTTCATCATTTGTTAGAAAACTTTTTTGTTTTGTGGTCTCTCTAGTAAGTACAACTGTAAAATCTTTCATCATTTGTTAGAAAACTTTTTTGTTTTGTGGTCTCTCTAGTAAGTACAACTGTAAAATCTTTCATCAAGAAATTTGTTAGAAAACTTTTCTTACTAGAAGAATATTTAGAATAATATGTATTTTACTTGCTATACATGATGAATATATAACAGTAAATATTAGTTAGTGATTTAGTCAAGAACATAATACACCTTAACTTCAGAGTAGATTTAGCTTTCTTCATAAAACTATGTTTAAATAACAAAAAAAGATGATAACCGAGCTCTTTGTTATGTTAAAAGATACTTCGTTAAATTAATAATTATAGTTTTGTTATAATTGAAAAATATGAATTTTGATAAAAGAGTTAGCACAAAGGGTTTGTTCTCCTGAAGAAGAATAGTCAATTATTCGAAAGCGCTCGAGTTTTGGGTCTTATTTTAAGTCTATTGAAAAATAAGAGATTTTTGATGGGCTTTTGTTCTTTTATGTAAATAATTGTGTTATATTTTTATAGGTACTGATGACTATTTATCCAGATTTTATTGCTCCCCTTTTTGACAAGTTCACTCCTCTTCCCGAAGGAGAATTGAGGACACAGATTGAAGCATTGGCAGCTAGTATAGACTTTCCTCTGAAAAAACTCTTCATTGTTGAAGGTTCTGTTTATTAACTAACTATAATCTCTTTAATGCCTGCGCTTGTATATGAAGTAAAACTAATACTACCTCTACCTGGTGTTTAATGAAAAGCATTATTAAAAATGTGGAATCTTGACTGTTAGTACGTTTTGAAGCTATTAGTTCATGATAAACTATGTGAAAACAATTGAAATACATTTAGTGATTTAGTAAATTATAGTGTGTGATTATCTAGTTTGTTTAAACATTCACGAGACATACTGAATTAAATAATTACCCCATGAACTAAATAATCATAGGCTTACAATCTGAAACTCTACCTAGGTTTTCTGTAGATTCGTACATTACTTAGTAAAAAAGATGTCATGTTCAGTATTGCATGACTTTTGTAATTAAATAATGACTTCTAAATTTTTCTTCTTCAAATCAAAGTGTTTTTTTGTCTGAAATATTTACTCAATTTTTCTAGGAAAATGTGTCTAAACTACATTTTATTAGTTTTTGTAATGAGTTTCATATTATAATTATAAAGTATTTTTTTAATTTTTAAACAGTTATTAAAGTGTTTTCAAGTTGGTTATAATTCATAAAGGTTTATGTACAAAATTAGTTTTGAGCACTTAGTCTATAATGCTCCTTTAAATATTTGTGTTTTGAGCCATTTATAGAAATAAATAGTTATGATTTTTTATGTAATTTCTTATCGTTTTGATTTCGGGCAAATAAATGAATACGCATATATTAATATTTTTAGGATCTAAGAGGTCATCTCATAGTAACGCTTACTTCTATGGTTTCTACAAAAACAAAAGAATTGTTCTCTTTGATACGCTTGTTGAAGACTACAGTCCTTTAAATGAAGATAGCAACAAAAGTGAAACTAGTGAAGAGGAGAAAGACAAAGAGACAGTTGTGGGTTTACTTGTAATTTGTACAATAGCATTGTCAGTTAGACTTTTTATAATCATCAGAAATTTTAGGACAATTCTAAGCGTAAATATTTCCTAAAGCTTGCTATTTTATCCCCAAAAGTTAAATCCTAAAAAAAGAAACATTTTCATTAAATTATTAAAAACCATGTGATATATTTTAAAAAATTAGGAATTGTAGAATGTCATGTGGTTTTCTTGTGACATATTTCAAAAAATGACTTGTGGAGTGTTTACATATTTTTTTTACAGACTGGAGGATTATTACATCTTATTTCCTATTTTGTAATTATATATATAAAAAAATTTAAATTATTGGAATAGTTTTTCAGTAATATATTTGAAATCTTCATGTATAAAGTATTGAAAGCCGTTGTTACACGAGCGATTTTTCTTTTCGACGGGTATTACATTGAAATGCAGCAAAACAATTTATGTATAAATTTTGAAAATATTCTGTCGGCTATCCATATTCATATGTAGTATGAGTTGTTAGCTCTTGTCTACCATACTTTTCGGTAATATGCATGATGTATAACTTTAAAAAAAAAGCAAAATTCCTGAAAAACCATTAATATTCTTAATGGAATAACTTCAACAAAAAAAACTTTCATAATTTTTTTTAGCCTAAATAATTACGTGTTAAAAAACAAACTATAGAATGACTAAACCACTAACCTGAGGCTGTTTTTAAAAGCATGGGTTTTTGTTTCTTATTATTATCCTGTTTACTAATACCTTAACTTTCAAAAATATATATAAGTGCTCGATAAAATTGTGGATTTCTTTTACGAAGAGATGAAAGTAAATTGTATCAGTATAAGCAGTTGTTGTCTGGGTTTCTTTGTTAAAAGGTATACTGGTTCACAATATATTGGGGTAACATTTTATTAAGCTACATGAAAGTAAATTGTATCAGTATAAGCAGTTGTTGTTTGGGTTTCTTTGTTAAAAGGTATACTGGTTCACAATATATTGGGGTAACATTTTATTAAGCTACATGAAAGTAAATTGTATCAGTATAAGCAGTTGTTGTTTGGGTTTCTTTGTTAAAAGGTATACTGGTTCACAATATATTGGGGTAACATTTTATTAAGCTGTTTTGATGCTTCTATTAACTCTCCATGTATGGGCTCTGTCATGTTTACAGATCTTACAATCACTGGGTAACCATAAAAGCATACAAATTATAACTTTAAATATGTAATTAAGAACACAAAATAATAACATAAACACAAAGCATACAATATTGTATAACTATAATAACTTATCTTTCTAACTAAAGTATAAATGCCATAAAATAATTTACTTAACTAGTCGATGTGAACTCAGCAATAGTAACAATAAGTCTGTAGGCCATATAATTCATACACTATCTTCAGAATGAGTTAGTCCTATACAGAAAGTAGTAACTCAAAATCTCTTTTTATTGGTTATAAATAATCTAAGATCAAACATTAAAAGAATTATTGACATTTTGTAAAGGACGGGTTGCGATAAAAAAATACTTTGGGTGATTTACTTTATTTAATTGGAATGTTATATCAAAACATTAATGGATTAAAATATATTCATGTTTTTTTTGGATAGTAATATTCTGGTTTGTTGAAATGGATGATTTAAGAATTAAATAAAAAAATGTACACTGTTGGTTTTGTTTTTAAGTGGGTAAACATGGATATAACATTCAAGTGCAAATTTTTCTGTCAGCTGTTCGAACTTTGCGATAGATTTTTGGAGGTTTTAAAACTTACTGGAATGTAAATATATAAGTGCATTTCAAGAATGAATTACACCTTAGGTTACATAAATAAATATGCCATCCAGCATTACTACTTTTATAAGAAATATGTAGAGCAAAGTATTTTTTAAATGAGCTAGTATATGTTTATGGACATTAATTTTCATAGGAAGAAACCGAGAAGAAACCAAAGAAAACTGGTTGCAATAATCAAGAGGTTTTAGCTGTCTTAACTCATGAATTAGGTCATTGGCAGTTCAGCCATACCACTAAATATTTGGTAATATTTCAGGTAGGTGTTTATTTCAAATGCAAGTAAAATAATGTTTTTATGTTTTAATTTGCATTTATTTATTGACCTATAATGTAAGTGATAGTATTTGAAAAGTTTAATATGTTATTTAGATCTTATAAAATTAATATTTTTTAATTAGGTAGTAAGATTTAAGTGATATAGGAAAGAGTAAGTTGAACATGTAATGGATTTTTCTGGGAATCAATTAACAGATCTAACTCTTGAAGTTTTGTTAAAATTGTTTTAAGCCAATCATATACAAAAGAAATAGTAACAAGAGAAAATGTGTTAAAAGAATGCATGTATAAAAATAAATTTAATTGTGTTATTCTACATTTAAAGGTAAACCTTTTCCTAAATTTCCTGGTGTTTTCCATGCTGTACAAGAGCCAGATTTTGTATGCTGCTTTTGGCTTTAAGATGGAAAAACCTGTTTTTATTGGACTACTTATCATTTTCCAGTATATCTTCTCTCCATATAATGAGGTTGGTTTAACATTTATGGATTTAAATTTTTTTGTTTGTTTATTTTAGTTACATCTCTTAAAGTAATTTGGTTATATGCATTATCTACAGGTTCAAGCAACATTTGTTAGATTTTAAGAAGCTCAAAATATTTCTAGCATTGGCTCAGTTTCTTTTTCAAGTACAAACTTTTAGCTCATAGCTCCATCTCTTGACTGATTTAAAATCTAATTACATTTGTGGCTATTGAGAATTTATTCTCGTTTTCTTAAAAAACATCTTTTGAAGCAAAATATAATTAAGCAAGCAATTCACTTCAACAGCTTACCATCTTTCCTGGCTCTTCCTCTTCATTAAGATAAGGATTATTAATTGAACATGTGTTTAAAAATATGCTCTAATAACTTAGTTAATAGTTTGTGTAAAATCACTTATTTTTATCTTGATGGAGCAAGAAAATTTTTTGCTGTGGTTTATGATAATACATATTTATATGAATTTTAAAATGGTATATTGGTACGCCTCAGTTTTTTCAAGATCTGTTAGTGATAATTAGAAAATCCAACAGGATACAAAATGATTTTTATTGGGGGCAACTGAAAAGTAGTCTCTGCAATGTTTCATATAGTTTATCTTTCCTCAATAATTTCTGGCCAATATCCTAGTGAGACGTGTGAATTTATTTATGTTTAACATTGATATCTTTATTCCTTATTTTCACTTCCAAATGAAATTAATTTTTGTAATTGCAGCTTCTGTCCTTCCTCTTGAATGCCTTAAGTAGATATTACGAGTTCCAAGCAGACGCATTTGCAAAAGCAAAGAACAAAGCAGCAGATTTACGAAGTGCCCTCATCAAACTGAATAAAGACAACCTTGGTTTTCCTGTTGATGACTGGCTCTTCTCTGCTTGGCATCATTCCCATCCACCACTGCTTCAAAGAGTCAGAGCTCTAGGGAAAATCGACTGATTTTTGAACTTCAAAAACACGAACCAGTGTTTAAGATTAAAATCATCTTGCACAGTTTTGGATTACTTTAAGTTTAAATTATTATTTTAGGAGAAACAGAAGTTTTGCTGGTTTCAGTGTATACATAAAAATTGTGCTAAAGTCAATAAAGTTTTGGCTCATTACTTTATTATCAGTGAGTAAATAAAAAGAAATTGACTTTTTGTTTCAACCATATTCATTCTCATATACTGGATTTAAAAAAAAATGGTATTATACATACTCACTTAAAAGCATGTTCTGACAACACCAGTTTATACTTTTTTGAGTTTATTTCACAAATGGTTTGATTGTTATCTAGACTAAAACTTGGAGATGGAAGCTTCTCCAGTTCATTTTGATGTATTTACCTTTTCTGAAAGCTAGCTACTTCACATTTATTGACATGTAGTATTACCATTATGCTATGATACTTTCATAAATTTCAAAAATTATTTAATGGTTTTTCAGTGTAACATTGGCAAATAATAACTAATATTGTACTTAAAACTACAAACATCCACCTTCAGTAATATAAATGACCTATTTCAAAATATTTATTGCATAAATTTTAACCAATGATTTTCTAACCCCCTCCTTCTCCCATTTTGACATAGATTCTGGCAAATATGGTCAAGTGCCATTTTTGGTACATACTCATTGATGGACATTAATCCCAGGAAAAGTTATTTTCTGACTAAATGATTTATCTACAAAATTAATCATATTTTCTAGCTGTGTACTTCTTCCCAATTCAAGCACAACTTGTTTACTTTTGACACACTTATTCGGCAACCAAGAAAGCTATAAATGAAGTATAAGGCAAACTTGGAATAGCTTTCTTTTGGGGTATATTTATTATATTAATTTGTGACACTTCACTTTTAGATCATTCCTATATTATGCAATAAATTAAGTTGCTGAAGTCCTCTATAGACAGACTGACAGCAGAAGTGGTTTCAACCTGGATATAATAACATCAAGGTTAAGATATCAAAATAATGCTGATAAATACATTTGATACTACAACCATCGATGCCCTAACACTAACTTATATTATAACAGTAGTCCTGTTGTGTGCCACTTTTTGATTGAATCAAACAGTATATGGGTTGATGATATAGATTGTGCAATCCACCATTAGTACACATTGATGCAATCAACAAGCAGACAAAATGACTTCAATAAGCAACTTATCGCCATACACACCCTTATTAATGCAGTTAGCTTTTATAATCAGTTTATATTAAATTTGTAAATTTTACTTGTGCAAACATATATTAACTAGTAATGACATCTTTATCTAGAAACTATGTATTGTTTTTGAACTTCAGAACAGAATATCCTGCTATAAAAAGATACTCTTTTTAACTGGCTGTTTCATATTGTAGCCAGATAAGAGTCATATACAAATTTGAAGAATGCCAAGGACCAGGTACAACCACAGTTTCATGGAAGAAAGATGTGCTTAGTGTTGTGGTGGCATACTGATTTGGAAAGGGATCAGTATTTGTGGCCATATATTATGAATGCCACATGATGTAAGGATGCAAACTTACAATCATCAGTACTGCCACATGCAACTTTCTCCAGTGGATGTTAACATCCACCATGCTCAACTGCTTAGCAACTTCTAGAAGAGTAAATGGACTAAATAGCACATCCAACAGACTTGAATTTGATTAAATACATACAAGGTGCTTAATATAAGTGCTTTGGTAATATGTGATTCACCTCCAGACAGAGTTGCTAAACTGGAAATGGCTCATTAATTCACTTATTTTAAGTTTGCTACATTGATCATATGCATTATTAACAAACAATTTCTGATAATTCACTGGGTTCAAAGTCTTGCATCAAACAAACATTTGTGGATATGGAATTCAATAGTTTATATTTACCAAGTAAGTCGCACGAATGGTCACCTGCCACTTGTTTTGCATCAAAATAATCTTGAGGATTCCATTGACATTATTTTATAGCAGTAGTTGTGTCTTTTGATTATCCTTTAATTATTTTAAATAGTTTACCCGATTGCTATTCTAACTACTATTGAAATCTCGCATATTTTCCACAGCAGGGGATTTAAACATTGTTCTAGATTGTGATATGCTAGGCCTATGTATTTTTTTGTTTTTATTTTAAAAAACGCACTTGCAAATGGATAATATAACTGGTATACCAGTTTAAAATCAATACTCAGAAATGTATAAGGTTACTAGGTACAAATATATGTTTATATGCAACCAACAGCAATACTTACTACTATGAAATGAGACTGAAATAACAATTATGACAGTTAAATATGGTACATCAAACAAAAAAAATTACACATTTCTTCACACTAAAAAGGTAAGGTTGTTTGTAGTTCAATTCTAGCAAATTAGAACTTAAGTTATTCTCTGTATTCAGAATGCATTTTCAAAACAATGTAAAAAAAATATTCACCATATTATCATCATGTGCACATTTCTCAAAGCCAAAATCACTTTGAATATATGAATCATAAATGTTCATATCTCCGATGTATCAAAATCCACAGATGGATAAGTTTAATGGTCTTGTGGATGTTCTCTATATAGTGTAAAGTGCAAGTTTTAGTATTCTGAGTATTGCCACTAGAACACAAATTGAATACTGGCTATTTTCAGATATATAACAATAATACTAGATGGGAACAAAGATAAAATTTCAGAAATTAGCTACTTTAAAACTTGTACTTCTGCACCCTACCGTAATTATTTTGACGTATGTGTACACTTTGTTAGGTATTTGTTGTTGATGTGTATGTAGAAATTAATCTTGATTATTTATTATATTTAACCATAAATATCAACCATATCTCTATTGTTTTACTACAGTAAACTATAAACGTGGACTTTAACAGATAGAAATTATAAAATTAATATCACAATGGATTTGTAGTGGAAAGAACTTAAGTTTTTAACATTACCAAAACATGAAAGTGTATATATATATAATTTTTAACAATCATAAAAAAGGTTTCACTGTCAGAAAACATGCAATACATTTAACGTTATTGGTACAAGAATTTGAATTATTTCATGACATTGTACAATTATTTAAAATTAAAACTTTATATATATTTACCTACTGAAGAGTTTGGCCACAAAATCCAGTAATACAAGACCTAAAAAATATTACAAGTATTGGCAGTCTTCTAAAACTTATGCTGTATTTCTATTGCTTACTTATATTCATAACAAACAGCTACACAGATGTCTAAAAAACCTATGATGAAATTATTATACTGGAAGACAAAGTAAAATGTGTGCACTCTTCAAGACATATTAGTAAGCCTGAGTTTCACACATTATATCAAGTATATTACATATTAAGTTTTTGTATTGATTTTAAAATACTGCCCACAGACCTACTCAATTAACCTTGAAAGATACTTGCTCATACTAACTATACTTTGTTTACCTAAACTATCTTAATTTAACACAATGAGAATAACAGGTCTTTTCCAATATGGTAGGTGGACTAGGGGTACTGTATCTTATACTTTAAAAAATTTAACAATTGGCTACTACTACTACAACCTAGTAGATTTATTTAAACAACAGATAGCAGGGACAATAGATACAATAATGAATGATGGGTTAGTTGAAGCTTGACTCTTGTGGTAATTTATTAAAACAACAACAGTAGCAGGGATGATGACAGCAGTAGTGAATGGTAGAGTTGAAGCTTGAATCTAGTGATTTATTAAAACAACAGTAGCAGGGATGATGACAGCAGTAGTGAATGGTAGAGTTGAAGCTTGAATCTAGTGATTTATTAAAACAACAACAGTAGCAGGGATGATGACAGCAGTAGTGAATGGTAGAGTTGAAGCTTGACTCTTGTGGTAATTTATTAAAACAACAACAGTAGCAGGGATGATGACAGCAGTAGTGAATGGTAGAGTTGAAGCTTGACTCTTGTGGTAATTTATTAAAACAACAACAGTAGCAGGGATGATGACAGCAGTAGTGAATGGTAGAGTTGAAGCTTGAATCTAGTGATTTATTAAAACAACAACAACAGTAGCAGGGATGATGACAGCAGTAGTGAATGGTAGAGTTGAAGCTTGAATCTAGTGATTTATTCTGGCAACAACAGACATAAGAGTAATGAGTGGTATTGTTGCAGCTTCACCAATAGAAGGGGTGTAGCCTAACCCAGGAAGTGAAGCAATATAAGCCTGAGTATCAGAAGTGAAGGAATGCAAGTTACATACTAAAGGAGTTGTAGTATAATTATAGTTATTCATAGGAGAATAGTCAAATCTGATATCAACCAGTACTTGATATCAAGAAAAACGTTTTGGTGACTAGATAGTTCACCTTCATGGGGAAAAATGACACCACTTATCACAAGGAAGGTGAAAAATAGTCACCAAAAAGCAAAGATTTTCTTGTCATTTACGAACGACCTCAACTACTAACTTAACCTATTATGCAAAGTATCAGTCAATTGAGCATGCCACAGCATTTTAGTTACATTCAAAACTCAACTAAACAATTTATTATACATTTCAATAAACCCTAAATCAGAATGTAGTGTACAAGATTGAATTTCTTAGGTTCAAAAGGAAATACTTAAAAAATTCTTAATCTTTATTTGTGTTGTCATATGACAAATCCCCCCCCCCCCAATGTAAACATAAAACTTAAATAACGACAAGGTCAACTGTACATTTTTGATGTCCTAACTACTCCATTTGCAGAGATATCAATACATCTTTTTAACCCACAACAGAAGCCCTACCTATCTATCCTTAACTTTCATGGCGATTTTCAAAACCAATGTTATTTGATGGGCATCTTTATAACAAAATTGTTTGTTTTTTTTATTTCAAGCTTACAACCATCCTTTTGTATTTAGCAGCAATAGACATTAGTTGAGAGGATGTAATTGATGTGTGAATAAGCAAAGCTGTTGCTCACAGCAGTAATGAAATCTTTTACCCTATTTATTGCTTAGTTATGAAGCCAGTTATATGACAGTAGTTTTGAGATATTCTGTTCTACTAACTGAAATAATTTTTGTTAGGACAATGAACTTGAGAGAAGAAAGCTAGGTCTATTTATCTACGTGTTTGAGTGTTCAAATTTCATACCATGCAGTACATCAGAGTACAATGATGATTTAGCTACAGCTAGTCTTAGGGTAAAGAAAATAAAAGATAAAAAGTTATCAAAAAAAACTCTAAATAAACATTACAAGTCTGTTGTACACAAAACATTCAAATTTTCAATAAAGTATTTGTATTAAAGATTTGTCTGTGAATTTCCAAAGCCTTTACTGAGTAAATCTAAGTGAGGTGATTTTCATGCTAAGAATAAAAATACTTTTATCTTAAATTTTTCATATTTAATTGGTGTAACTTATAGGAACTCTTAAATGAATATCAAAAGTTTTGATTGCAAAATTTCATGAAGATACACTTAGTAAGTTCAGTTTTAGCACGTATAGCTTCAACATCCTGAGACTCGGACCAATGGATCAAGCCTCGTACATAGGTTTAACCCAAAGTGATACAATAGTAGTCTAATGTCACAAGGGAAAGATTGTAAAAGATGCAGTTATAGTCTGACCATATGAAAAAAGGTATTTTTTTTTATAATTGGACCAAAAGGAAGAATTATACATTATATCACTGTAGTAACACCAACAGAGAATGAATAATATAACTAAACTAAGCAAGAGAAGTGGTGAAATATAAGAGGTTCGGTTGTAGTTTAACCAACTACACAGAAGTGGTTTTGTATTGAAAATCTGTGGGCTTGTGTGATAAATATGTTATGTCTGAGCAATAGAAGGGAAAAGTGTAAATGGTATATAGCTGAAATCTCGTAAGACTTATACAGAACAAAAACCATGATGATGTCCTCCAATAAATAGTAAGCTTTTCTGCAAACAGGATATAAACCTGGTAACTGTATGCATAAATATCTATAAAAGAACACTAGAACAGTGTGTTTCCTTGACTAATGTTTCAAGACACAGCTCTTAAACTGTAAAATTAAATGTATGGTTATGTTAATATAGCTACTTAGAAGATTTATAGAAAACTACTTAATTTTTTAGGCTATAAAAATGAAGAATATTCTACCTTCAAATTTTTAAATGCTACAAATAATTGTTTTTTTGTTTGTTTAATAACAGGGAGTATCACATATAATGTCATATTATGCAATCAAAAGGAGGTGAATAGATCAAATATACTAAATTTAAGGAAAAAATAATTACAAATTTTCAATGTAAACTTTTAAACCTTGAACTCAATCTAATTTACACTTCTGAAAGTCAGTTCCTTTTAAAAGTAATATCTGAATTTGACTTTTCACGGACCAGTAAAAATACAGTAGTGCCTTACGGTTGGCCAGTAGTGTGAAAGACATTTTAATACATATAATCTTTGAAGCAAAAGTCAAAAGTTTGCACTCACAGGAAATATACATTCATATCCATCACAACAAAAGATCAAACTGATCACACCAAACATAATAACTATAAAGTAATTCAAAAGATCACATCAAGTAACATACATGAAAAGGTCCAGTTAGCTGCACCATTAGTGAACAGAATTAACCAAGTGTACATTTCTGAAAATCTCACTTCCTATTAAGTCAATATAAAATGTTTTATCACTGAGTTATAATTTTGTGAGTAAAACCTATATGAACATTGAAGGCATTTTTAAATGAAACAGGAATTTTTTTCATCTGTATTGTTTGAACACATCATGTTTTAAGTAAAAACCATGCACACAGGAAGAGGTCATAGTATCTGCAAAAACAAAGTCTGTATATTTGAAATACAAATTAATGTAGTTACTTTTAATCTTTGAAATGACATTTTGATAAATTTTTTCAAGCAACAATTTTCAATAATACATGTATTATCTATTATTTCTCAATTCATTTATCAGTAACACACTAATTTAAAACTGTAGTTTCTAAGATGCTTTATTCAACTATTGAACATTGAGCATTCTCTTTGATCAAAATATTAGTAACCATGCATTAAAACATTGGTAATTAGGTCATTTAAAACTATTACTCTAGTTTTATATCTACATCAACATGAAAAACACAGCTACTTATGTAATTATATATACAAATTTTATATATATATAAAATCTTAACTGTATGAAGTAGTGCTTTGGTAAGTCCCTTTTTTATCTGTATATTAAAGTTACTTTTAAAAACTGATACCTTAAAACCATATCCCTCGCTCTTAAGCATTTCTATGTAACTCAAATTAGATAGAATACCAACTCTCACACAAAACTTAAGAGCAGATAAAAATAGCATACAACTTAAAATGTAGTTTTGTTTCATATTTTTCTCTGTATCATAGGTATAGTAATTAGATTAAAAATTAACACTCATCTGGAAACCCAAGAACCTAAACTTGCTAGTAAATATGTACCATTATCCTTTAATAAGAAACACTTCCAAAAAATTTGAGAATGTACACCCTAGTACACAATAAAGATACAAATCAGATTATCTGACTGGCATTGTATTTAATGTGCCAGCATAAAACAAATTTGTGTTTTTCTGTATTTTAACAGTTTATCTGTACAATATACAGTTTAAAATACCACCAAAAGGTTCACACATATGTAAGATATTTGATGTATTTGGTTTAAAATGTAAATTGCAAATAATACTTCAATGGATAAAGGCATTGAAGATGTCCTTGTACACACAAAAGTCAGTACTACTGTGAGAATGTCATATATCTAAAAGCAATAGTTAAATGTCCTGTTTGACACTATTCTTTGTAATGAAAAACAGATTTTTCATGAGTTATGATTAACTGGAAAAGGGTGTGCCTCTGTGTTAAAGACCCAGTCTTCCAGTGGTAGGAGGCTGTCATCTGAGAACAGTAAATAAAGATATTTTAAGGTTTCAGCAAGGAAATAACTCTGCTGAACATCATCCTTTGGCCCATCCAGAAGATAAACATTTTTCAATCCGGTGTAGCCTCCTTCCACTCTACAGTGTTTTTCAATAGCCTGGATGAAAAAATTCAGAACACCATTTACTAAAACTTAATAATACTTCTAACACAGGGTCTACAAATAAGATTAATTTAAAAACAATTTTAAGCAATCAAATAAAGCCTCATAATGACATTATGAATACTCATAAGTCATGCTTGTTAGAACAATAAAACCCACTGAACACTATTAAAATAAATTCTCAAAATTACAAGTTTCAGTTTACTATTCAACCCAACAAAAGAAATTAGGATTCACTATATAGTAAATACCCTCAGATGCTACGTTAGGATTACTTGACAAACATTCTATTACAAACAAAAATAGTCTTTATTTACCAACAAAAGAAATTAGGATTCACTATATAGTAAATACCCTCAGATGGTATGATAGGATTACTTGACAAACATTCTACAACAAACAAAAATATTCTTTATTTACCAACAAAAGATTGAAGCTAAAGCCATAAAACAGAATGAGAAATATTATATTCAGCGACCTGAAACAATTGAAACTTACTTTTACCTTTGGAGATTTACTCATGATCCTAAGTACCGTGATTGGGGCTGGGAAGTTGTGCAGGTTAGAAATTAAATAAAGAATATTTTTGTTTGTAGAAGTATGTTTGTCAAGTAATCCTATCATAGCATCTGAGGGTATTTACTATATAGTGAATCCTAATTTCTTTTGTTGATAAATAAAGAATATTTTTGTTTGTTGTAGAATGTTTGTCAAGTAATCCTATCATACCATCTGAGGGTATTTACTATATAGTGAATCCTAATTTATCATCTGTAAATCGGAATGTCTCTGGGCCCAGTTTGGTTGCTAAGGGAAATGTTAACGTACACAAATTAGAATGAGCCTTTATATATATACTTAAAATAAAAACAGATAAGATTAAAAATAAACAGCTATCATGGTAACAAAGAATTTCACAGTCAAATACAAATTAAATTGGACTCAACTTTCTTTCTGGTAAATCAACATAAGACATGTTTTGTTAAAAAACTGAACAAATTGTGAAATAAATATAAGATACACTTTTTCTCGCATGATAGTGACAGACCACATAACCAGTGTGGCAACATGCACAACATCTTAAAAGCCATGGGAGCAAAGTTGAGAAAAGTGTTATTCATTTAAAGCATTGTGGGATATGTTTTGAAATGATCCCTTGTAGCTTTATTCATTTTGGAGGGTTAGTGTCCATTACATAAATAAGTGTCAAGTACTGGAGAATGGGGGTCATTGAATAGACTTGCACCATAGTTTTGATATATGTGAACATGTACAAATTACTGCTATCTTGAATATCAAAATGACACTATAAACAAGTTACAAGAAAAAAAATTATTTGAATATTCTGATAAAATATTAGCCACTAGTGAATTTAACTTACCTGATCTCTGATAAGACTCATGACATGTGTTACCAATATCTTTAGCCAATGTCATGTAATGCTCCTTACGGTCATCTGGAAGAGACCGGGACCCTAAGGCTAACATTCCACCTGAAAAATAAAATAGGGCAACTTTTTGTGAAAGAAAATAACTTAAAGAATTATACATAAAATCACATCATATGCCCAGAGACTTATTCATACGACTGTGTTAGGTCTACCTCATCTTCTACAAAACTATAAATTATTAATTAACAAGCACAGAGCTAATACAACAGCTGGTTCAATTACAAAAATATTTGAAGAGTAAAATGTACTCATACATGCTCTTAAAAAGCACAATTAGAAAATGTGGTCTGATAGCACATGCCTGTGGATTTAAACTTCATAAAAGTTGTTTTGGTTTTAATAACAGATTTTTCAAGTAAAGATATTTTACAAATCAGGAAGAATAAAAAACTCTTACTAAGATCAAATTATTATTTCGTTTACCACAATGAACATTTTTCTATTATTATGTTTGTTAACAAAAATACAAACAAACTGAAGGGAAGAACATTGATACTGAACGAATATGCATCCTCATTCATCCTGATTTTTTGTGAAATCTACATCTTTTAGTCTCAAAACTACATGTTGTGATCTTTCTTTTATATACTGCATTATGACATTTTGTGAAAAATCTGTACATGATGGAGACAAATGGATATCATTTTTGGATTCAGCATACAGGAATTACTGTAGAACAATAAGACCATTGCAGGCCTGTGTAATTGTTTGCTATACAGCTTATTATCCTGTTAATACAAAGAGTTAACTGCACTTTATTTGAATGATGCAGGTCATGTCACCACAAGTAATATGTTTAGCTTCTGTAAATTTAGTTTGTGGAGAATTCTGATCATTTGGCTGCTACGAATAGTTAATGACAAGAAAGTTATAGAAGACAAATATTTATTCAGTAAGATTGTTAAATAATGTAGAATCAAAGAGGTCACAACAGTTTGAAGAAAGCAGCCATTAATTTTGTCAATGGCAGCAGAAATATCACAAAATGAGAATTTAGGAGAATAACAGACTCTGAAACCACATGTAAGCCCAAAACAAAGAAATGTTATCACACCCAACAAGTCCTCCACTGTAAGCTCAAACAGACTTTTGTATTTAGTGTTAATTATTTATTCACAGTTTGTAAGATGCAATAGGTGCAAGGAGCAAGTTCTATCTGAGAACTAGAGACTGCCAGGCACTTTTAACGTAATTGGTGGTGAAAATGTGCAAGTGTTTGCTGAGTTTGTAGGCTAGAGAAAAAATTGGAAGAAACAACTGATAAAAAAAAAGTGTAAGCTGTTGGAAATGGCAGAAAGAGTTCAAGAGAAAGTTATGCTTATACATGCAAAGGGATAAAATAGCTATTTGCAAGAGTTATTAACTCAACTGTAAGGGCAACTTTAAACTAGGACTAGACAATGAAGAGGACCAGAATAATGAAGAAAAAAAAAAAGATGTAGAGAAAAGTATAGTGTACAAGCAAAGTATGAGTCATTTTAATGGAAGGCTAAATTGATATTAACATAATGCCAAAAGTATAAGAAATAAGAGGGATGACTTCAGAATACTGGTTAAAACAGAGGATTTTGATGTCATGGAAATAACTTAAATTTAGTTTAAAGGTTATTTTAATAAAAAACAAGGAGAGGTAGAAGTGGCATCAAATGTAAAATGAGAGTTACATCCTACTCAAATTGAGGACATCAAGCTTATAGCAGTAAGGTTAATTCTGGGTTTCTTTTAGTGTTTGTAAGAAAAGAAATGTTTTTAGTTGAATTTTGTTACATCTCACCAGATGAAATTAATGGTAAACTCTATACAGTCAAGTCACGAGGGAGGCATGATTTTAGAAACTGTTCAGGATGGTTTTCTTCACCAAATGATTAGGGAACATACTAGAACAATAGTATTTTAAATTTATTGTTACCTTCTTATACAGAAATATTTAATAGGGTGAAGACTGGAGAACATCTGTGCAAATAATCATTGCTCAATTAAGTTTGATGTCTTGCTGCATATGGAGATAAGGAATAATGAGATTTTGGTTCCAAATTTCAAAAACTCAAATCTTGAAGAGATGAGACAAGAATTATCCGCTGTGAATTGGGCAACTGAATTAAAAAAAAAGTGTGGTTGC